CTGTTTCTAAGGCATAGCCCCAAAATGAAAGAGGTAAACTAGTGGAACTCATCATAGGTCGAATCATGTCCAACAATGTTCGATTCCTTCTTTCTGAAACCCCATTTAGTTGTGGAGTTCCAGGAGGTGTCCATTGTGAAATAATCCCATTATCTCTTAAATAATCAAGAAACTCATTGGTCAAATATTCTCCTCCTCGATCTGATCGAAGAACTTTTATACTACGACCAATTTGTTTCTCTACTTCATTTCTGAATTCTTTGAACTTTTCAAATACTTCAGATTTGTGCCTTAATAGGTACTACATAACCATACCGTGAATAATCATCAGTAAAAGTTATGAAATAGTAGTAGTTCCCCTTGGCACTAACATTTAATGGTCCACAAACATCTGTATGGATCAAATCCAACAGACCTTTAGCTCGCTCCACTTGTCCAACAAATGGTGATTTTGTCATTTTACCTTTAAGACATGACTCAAAAGTAGGCAACCTTTTTTCTCCCCTAAGGTCGAGTTTTGGTCCCAACTTGTTAATCCTCTTTTCAGATATATGACCTAATCGAGCATGCCAAAGTGTAAATGAACTATGATTATCTAATTTTCTTTTATTTTGTTGAATAGTTAGGATGGGACTTTGTGGTGTAATGGTATATAACCCATTTGTCAAATTTCCGGAATATATAAAAGTTGTATCTTTGAAAATGGAACATCTTCCATTCTCAATAACAAACTTAAAACCTTCTCTATCCATTACTGGAATAGAAATAATGTTTTCTTATAACATCCGGAACATACAAACAATTTGTAAGACAAAATTTTACATCATTATTTAAAGCTAGATATACAGTCCCAATTGCTTTGGCAGCAACTCTTGCTCCATTGCCCATCCTTAGGATTGTTTCATCATCTTCTAGCTTGTTACTTCTTGCCATCATCTGCAAATCATTGCAAATATGTGAGCCACAGCCGATATCCAATACCCAAGAAGAATCGTTAACTGATAAGTTAACTTCAACAAAATAAATACCTGAACTTTTCAGGCTAGCAAGATACTTCTTGCAGTTCCTCTTCCAATGCCCAGTTTTACCACAATGATAACATTCATGATTAGACTGAGAATTAACCTTCTCTTTGTTCTTTCCTTTGTTGTAATTTGCCTTCTTGTTGGGCTTATTGGGAGCCTTTCCCTTCCCCTTCCTTTTCTTAGACTTTAAAGCCTTTGATCCAGAAGTGGATCCAACAAGAAGCACCGGCTTATCCTTTTTGATTGTGGATTCAGCCGTCTTTAACATGTTCACTAATTCTGGCAGAGAAGTCTCCATATTATGCATGTTAAAGTTAACAACAAAGCTATCAAATGACGATGGCAGAGATTGCAGCATGAGATCCACATAGAGTTCATTATCCATAATGACTCCAAGGGACGAAACCTTTCAGCAAGAGCTATCATCTTCAGCCCATGATCATGAACTGAAGAGCCCTCAATCATACGA